GTTTATTCCTGTTCTTAGCTCTGGATCATGCAAAAAACACTAGCCTCAAGCACTAGGACACAAGGACCAGAGGCATCCAAGTCAGGGTTCCTCCTACCTCCACCTTTTTCTCTGAGGTCAGTGATTCTGGGGATAAACCGGTCGGTTCCTCTTTCTTCTGAGGCTCATCTTGAGTTTGTTCATTAATTTGTTCAGGCTTCTCCTCCTCCTGAAATCAGCAGTTAGGGAAAAGGCAAGAGTGAAGTTGCCTTCCCTCCCTGTCTGTTCAGTATCCCACACATTCCCAGCTTCTGGGGCTTTCTGGAGTGTTCATATGCCAGGGGATCCCCTCATCTTAATTAAGAGATCTATGGGAACATCTCTAAAAAGACTGGTTCCTGTGTCTCTCACTTACTCACCATTGGTTCACTTGGATTGGGTTTAGATGGTTCAAATCCCCTCAGGTCTGTGTTCCTCTAGCCATGGATGGGTAGATATAGTGGAGAGAGAGACACCTATGATGTCATAAGGGCAGTTATGACTCAGGCACAAGAATGGCTCCCAATAGTTGAGCTCCCTCCAAGGGAAAGACAAAAGTGCTATCCATTCTTTTCTGCTGGAAATGGCCAAAGCCCCTAATACGAAAGCAAGACACCAGAAATACAGGCCCATCGATGTAAAGGTGTATAAACATAACCAGTCATCGGTAATATCCCTGACTGTTAAAATTGAGGATCGATTTATATAATATCTCTGATTCTTGGGCCACCTGTGTGGCTCAGTGGGTTAAAGCCTCTGCCTTCGGCTCTGGTCATGATCCCGAGGTCCTGGGATGGAGCCCCGCGTCAGGCTCTCTGCTCAGCAGGGAGCCTGCTTCCTCCTCTCTCTCTCTGCCTGCCTCTCTGCCTACTTGTGATCTCTGTCAAATAAATAAAATAAAAAATCTTTAAAAATAATAATAATATCCCCGACTGTTAAAATTGAGGATTGATTTAATGGTTAATAATATGCAGAGAATACTAACAAATTATAACTGTAAAAACATAATTAATTTAGGGGCACCTGGCTGGCTCTGTCAGTAGAGCATGTAACTCTTGATCTCAGGGTCATGAGTTTAAGCCCCATTTTGGGCATAGAACTTACTTATGAGTAAATTAAAAAATCAAAATTTTAAAAAGAATAATGAATTTGATCTATAGGTACTGATGATGAAGTGTATCTAAGATATATTTATAAGTGGAAAAAGTTGAAGATCATTATGATCCCATTTATGTAAATAAAACCATCAAGATACATAATTATACATCTATATTGTAAATGCATATAAAGGGGAAGAAGGGTATATACACCAAATTGCTACCAATGATTATCTTGGAAGAGTTGAATTGCTGATCCATCCATACAACTCTATGAGGCTCCCAGGACCAGCTGGGGCCCTCATTTCAGACAACAATGGACTCAAGTGTTCTCCTATCTTCTGCCCCTGAGGGACTGAAGGCCACATCTTATGGGTGAGGAACAGCCACTACAGAAGTTCTTAGCTTTGTTCTTATGAATGGAAAAGACACTTGACATGACCCTAGACACTAGGTGGGACCCTCCCTACCCCAGGATGCTCCCGTTTTCTGAAAACCCACCTGGGTAATGTGAGTAGCGACTTAGAGTCACAGCCCCAGGTGTCACTGAGAGTGCATTTGCCACACCTTCCAGAACACTGAGATAAGTCTTATAACTGAGGAGTGGGGAGGGGCTAAGAGAATAGCAGGTAGGGTTCAAATGTATCAAAGGAACATGGGTCATCTAACCAGACTCCATCAGGAAGCCAGCCCACAAGCCCCTGAGGATATCTCACGGGCAGATTCCCCAACTGGCATATGGACATCCCTAGTACTCCATGTCAATCACCCATATTATACTCCTTTAATCTATGGCTGGCTGGCTCCCTGTGTAGGCCCCTGAGGGTAGCAAGTAGGAACCTTTGCAGAGGGCTAGTGAGTATGCATAGAAAGCCAGATGACTCTGTGGAACTGAGAAAGAACACAAATTGAGCTTTCAGCATTGCCCCGGGGGAAGCAAACAGGAGGCTATCAGAATCCAGCCTGGTTTTGCAAGATTGAGAGAAGACATACGATCTTAAGGATCCCCTCAAGAAGGAACAAGAAGTGTGGAGCAGGTGTGTATATAGAAAAGCTCCAAGAAAGCTTCAAAATCCTAGCAGGGCTGACAGAGAAAATGGCAGAAAGCTTATTTAAAGAAATAGTAGCTGAACACCTGAAACGAATGTAAATTGTATGCCAACTATACTTCAATAATTAAAAAAAGGAAGAAAGAATAGCTGAGAATATAAAACATGGGAAGACATTTGGCCATCCAGTTCATGACATTCATTCAATCCAAATTCAATCCAAAGAAATTTTGTCAAAGACATATTGTAGTAAAACTCTCTAAAATCAAAGATAAAGACTTTCAGGGGTGCCTGGGTGGCTCAGTCGGTTGGCGTCTGCCTTTGGCTCAGGTGATGATCCCTGGGATCAAGTCCCACACCGGTTCCCTGCTCCTCGGGGAGCTTGTTTCTCCTTCTCCCCACTATTTCTGTCTCTCAAATAAATAAAATCTTTAAAAAAAAAAGACTTTTGGAAGAAACAAGAGCAAAATTTTGTTACAAACAAGGGAATCCCCACAAGGTTATCAGTGGATTTCTCAGCAGAACAGGCTGTGAGAAAATGATGTATTCAAAGGGATGATATATTCAGAGTGCCGAAAGAAAAAACAGCCAACCAAGATTAAAGAAGTCCTTTAGAAATGAAAATGAGAAAAAGAGTTTCCCAGATAAAAAGCTGAAAGTTCATCTCTCTCACCACTAGAAATGCCTTACAAGAAATTCCAAAAGAAGTTCTTCAAGCTGAAGTTAAAGGAGGCTAATTAATAATAGAAATATATGAGAATATAAAGCATACTGGTAAAGGTAAGTATATAATCAAATTCAGAATACTCTAATATTGTAATCTGGTGGTATGTTAATCACTTAACTCTAGTACAAAGATTAAAGGACAAAAGTATTAAAAATCACTATAGTGGGGCACCTGGGTGGCTCAGTCTGTTGAGCGTCAAACTTTTGGTTTCAGCTTAGGTCATGATCTCGTGTGTGGTGAGATAGAGCCCCACACTGGGCTCTGTGCTCAGCAGGGAGTACGCTTGGAGATTCTCTCTGTCCCTCTCCCCACTTGTGCACATCCTTTCTCTCTTTCTAAAATAGTAGATATTTTTTTTAATTACTATAACTATAATAACTTGTCAGTGGATACATAATATAAAGAGATATAAATTATGACATCAAAAAATTGGGGAGGAAGAGTAAAAGGGTAGTTTGTGTATGCAATTGAAGTTATCAACTTAAAATAGATTATAAGATGTTTTATGTAAGCCTCATGGTAGCCACAAGGCAGAAACCTATAGTAAATACACAAAGGGATAAAAAAAGAAATCAAGGGCGCCTGGGTGGCTCAGTGAGTTAAAGCCTCTGCCTTCAGCTCAGGTCATGATCTCAGGGTCCTGGGATCGAGCCCTGCATCGGGCTCTCTGCTTGGCAGGGAGCCTGCTTCCTCCTCTCTCTCTGCCTGCATCTCCGCCTATTTGTGATCTCTGTCTGTCAAATAAATTAAAAATAAATAAAAATCTTAAAAAAAAAAGAAATCAAAGCATATAACTGTAGGGGCGCTTGTCTGGCTCAGTCAGGAGAATGTGGGACTCTTGGGGTTGTAAGTTTGAGTCCCACATCGAGTATAGAGATTACTTTAAAAAATCTATATTTTTTAAAAGGTTTTACTTATTTATTCATCAGAGAAAGAGAGCACAAGCTGGGAGAGTGGCAGGCAGAGCAGGCAGAGGGAGAAGCAGGTTCCCACTGAGCAAGGAGCCCAACACAGGACTTGATCATGACCCAAGCCAAAGGCAGATGCTTAACTGACTGAGCCACACAGGCATCCCTTAAAAAAAAATCTTAAAAAAAAAAAAAGCATACCACTATGGAAAAACATCCAAAATATCAAAGAAAGACAGCAAGAGAAGAAAGGAATAAAAGAACTACAAAAGAGCCAGAACACAATTAATAAGATAGTATTAGTAAATTCTTACCTATCAGTAAGTACTTTAAATGTAAATGGATTAAATTCTCCAATCAAAATACATAGAGTGACTAAATGAATAAAAAGAATGACCCAAGTATATGCTTTAATAGAGACTCACTTAAACTTTAAAGATACATATAAGCCAAAAGCGAAGGAGTGGAAAAAGATATTCCATGCAAATGGAACAAAAAGATAGCAGGGGTACACACTTAGACAAAATAGACTTACATTATCTGATTTCAAGACTTACTGTCTTGGGGCACCTGGGTGGCTCAGTGGGTTAAAGCCTCTGTCTTTGACTCAGGTCATGATCTTGGGGTCCTGGGATCGAGCCCCGCATTGGGCTTTCTGCTTCCCCCTCTCTCTCTCTGACTGCCTCTCTGCCTACTTGTGATCTCTCTCTCTCTGTCAAATAAATAGGTAAAATCTTTAAAAAGAAGAAAAAAAAAAGACTTTCTCTCTTGAAAGACTATAAAGTTACAGTAATCAAGACAATGTGGTTTTAGTGTAAGAGACAAATGGATCAATGAAACAGAATAAAGAAGCCAGAAATAGATAAATATTTACACAGGTATTGATTTTTTTAATGTCAAGATAATTCAGTGCAGAAAGGAAATGGATCTTCAGTTTGGGGGGGTAGGAATCTTGACACATATCTAAAATTATAGACAACACACACCCACACAGGATGGATCACAGACCTAAACAAAAACTAAAGCTAAAACGGTAAAGCTTATAGAAGAAAACCTATGGAAATTATTTTGTGACCTTGAAGTTGACAAAGGTTTCTTAGGACAGAGAAAAACACTAAGTATAAAAGTTTGTTAGGATGGACTTCATCCAAATTAAAACTGTCTGTTCATGAAAAGACAACATTTTTGAAAGTCAGCTGGGGTGCTCACTTTAGCAGCACATACACTAAAATTGGAATGTTACAGAAAAGATTAGCATGGCCCCTTTACAAGCATGATGCACAAATATGTGAAATGTTCCATATTTTTCCAGCATGGTGATCATAGTCAACAATACTGTACAGCGTGTTTGAAAGCTGCTAAGAGAGTAAATCTTAAAAGTTCTCTTAACAAGAGGCCCCTGGGTGGCCCAGTCGGTTAAGCATCTGACTGGCTCAGGTCAGGGTCCATACGCAGTGGGGAGTCTGCTTGTCCCTCTCCCTCTGCCCTCCCCCATTTGTTCTCCCTCAAAAGAATAAATAAAATCTTGGGGAAAATTATGTTAATAAGAAAAAAAGCTATAACTATGCAATGATAGATATTGTGGTAAATATTTTGGAGTATATACAAATATCGAATCATTATGTTGTACACCTGAAACTAATATAATCTTGTATGTCAATTATACCTCAATTTTTTAAAAAGTCACAGACTTAAAAAAAAAAGTCACAAACTGAGGAAAAGAACATACACACACACACACACACACACGGAGAGAGAAAGAATGTATATATTGTGTGGATATATAAATGACATGTGCATATATATATAAACAAATGTGTATATACAACATGTGTATATATATATATTTGACAAAGATCTCATATCCAGGATAGAAGATCTTCTGCAACTTGAGAATAGAGATAAGCAACCCAATTGGCAAAAGACTTAAATCAATACTTCATAGAAGAAGATATACTTCTGGCTGACTCAGTCAATAAAGCATGTGACTCTTTTTTTTAAAACATTTTATTTATTTATTTGACAGAGAGATCACAAGTAGGCAGAGAGGCAGGCAGAGAGAGAGGGGGAAGCAGGCTCCCCACTGAGCAGAGAGACTGATGCTGGGCTTGATCCCAGGACGCTGGGATCATGACTGGAGCCGGAGGCAGAGGCCCAACCCACTGAGCCACCCAGGTGCCCCGAGCATGTAACTCTTGATCTTGGGGTTGTGAGTTTGATCTTCAGATTGGGTGTAGACATGACTTAAAAATAAAAATCTTTCAGGGCACCTGGGTGGCTCAGTCAATTAAACATCTGACTCTTGATTTCAGCTCAGGTTATGATCTCAGGGTTGTGAGATCAACCCCCACATCAGGCTCCACACTGGGCATGGAGCCTACTTAAGATTCTCTCTCCTCTCTCTCTGCCCCACCCCCACCCACCCACACACACATGAACAGTTTCTCAACATCATTATTTTTTTTTTAACCTACTTTTGAAAAAAAACGATGTGCTTTAATGTCACTCTTCACTACTCGAACAGGGACCCACGTCAACATCATTATTGATTAAGGAAAAGCAAAACTTAAATCACAATGGGATACCACTATCTATTAAAACAGTTAAAAAAAAATTTTTAGACTGTTGGTGGGAACGCAAGCTGGTGCAGTCACTTTGGAAAACAATATGGAGGTTCCTCAAAGAGTTTAAAATAGAGCTACACGAGGCGCCTGGGTGGCTCAGTGGGTTAAAGCCTCTGCCTTCGGCTCAGGTCATGATCTCAGGGTCCTGGGATCGAGCCCCGAATCAGGCTCCTGCTTCTCCCTCTCTCTCTCTGCCTGCGTCTCTGCCTACTTGTGATCTCTGTCTGTCAAATAAATAAATAAAATCTTTAAAAAAAAATAGGGCTACACTACCCAGCAATCACACTACTGGGTATTCACCTTAAAGATACAAATGTGGTGATCCAAAGGGGCACGCGCACCTGAATGTTTATAGCAGCAATGTCCACAATGTCCACAATAGCCAAACTATGGAAAGAGCCTAGATGTCCATCAACCGATGAATGGATAAAGAAGAGGTGGTACATATATACAATGGAATACTATGCAGCCATCAAAAGAAATGAAATCATGCCATTTGCAACAACTTGGAAGGAACGAGAGGGTATTATGCTGAGCAAAATAAGTCAATTAGAGAAAGACAATTATCATACAATCTCCCTGATATGAGGAATTTGAGAGACAAGGGGGGGCGGTCATGGGGGTAGAGAGGGGAAAAATGAAACAAGATGGGATCATGGGGAGACAGACCATAAAAGATCCTTAATCTCATGAAACAAACTGAGGGTTGCTGGTGGGTGGGGGATAGGGAGAGGGTGGTTGGGTTATGGACATTGGGGAGGGTATGTGCTATGGTGAGTGCTGTGAAGTGTGTAAGCCTGATGATTCACAGACCTGTACCCCTGGGGCAAATAATACATTATATGTTGATAAAAATTTTTTTTAGAAACTGAGAACCAAACATTGGTAAAGTGGAACAACCAATTTGGAAATTAGTTTGGCTGCTCCTGATAAAATTAAGCATACACCTACACCTACTCTATGACTCAGCAATTCCATTCCTATTTACTTAAGAGAAATGAAGATGTATGTTCACAAAAAGACTTGTTTAGGAATGTTCATAGCATTAAATTCATAACAATTAAATACTGGAGACAAGTCAAATATCTATACACAGGAGCATGGATAAATAAATATTATGAGTTTACTCATAAAATACTATTAAGCCATAAAAAGCAAAAGACTAATGATAGATACAATGACACTGACAAATCTTACAGACATCATGTTGGGGAGGGAAAGGCCAAACACAAAACAGAATACATTGTATAATTCCATATATGAAGTTTTTTAACATGCAAAACTAATAATACATAGTGATAGAAATTAGAACTGTGGTTGCCCCTGGGAATTGGGATGGATTAGAAAGAAGCACAAAGGAATTTTCTGGGGTGATAGAAATGTCTTCTATCTTGTTGAGGTATGGATTTATGGGATATATGGATTTGTCAAGGCTCATTTATTTATTTTTATTTTTTTTAAAGATTTTATTTATTTATTTGACACACAGAGATCACAAGTAGGCAGAGAGGCAAGCAGAGAGAGAGAAGGGGAAGCAGGCTCCCTGCTAAGCAGAGAGCCTGATGCGGGGCTCAATCCCAGGACCCTGAGACCATGACCTGAGCTGAAGGCAGAGGCTTTAACCCACTGAGCCACCCAGGTGCCCCTCAAACTTATTTAACTGAACATTTAAAATTTCTTCATTGCATTATACGTAAATTATACCTTGATTTTTTTAGATGAAGTTAAAATAAAACCATTTTCAGAAAAACAAGAGTTCAGAAAACAAAATTGCTAGCAGATACACACTATAAGAAATGCTAAAGGAAGATCCCAAATGGAAGCCTGCATCAGCAGGTAGAAACAACAGTCCAGAAGTAGTAATGTTGGGGTGCCTGGGTGGCTCAGTGGGTTGGAGACTCTGCCTTCAGCTCAGGTCGTGATCTCAGGGTCCTGGGATGGAGCCCCGCATCGGGCTCTTGCACAGCAGGGAGTCTGCTTCCCCTCCCCGCACCCCCTCCCCCCCTGCCGCCTGCCTCTCTGCCTACTTGTGATCTCTCTGTCAAATAAATAAATAAAATCTTAAAAAAAAAAAAAAGAAAAGAAGTAGTAATGTTGGATAAACAGAAAAGACCATCTTTTTTAAAAAACACTTTTTATTTTAATTCCAGTATAGTTAACATACAGTGTTATATTAGTTTCAGGTATACAATATAGTCATTCAACAATTTTATAAATTGGTCAGCGCTCATCACAAGGAGTACATTCCTTAATCCCCTTCATGTTCCCATCATTCTACCCACCTCCCCTCTAGTAACCACCAGTTTGTTCTCCATAGTTAAGAGTTTATTTCTTGGTTTGTCTCCTCTCTTTTTTTTCCCCCTTTGTTCGTTTTGTTTTATATTCCACATGTGAGTGAAATCATGTGGTATTTGTCTTTCTCTGACATTTCACTTAGGATTATACTCTCTAGATCCATCCATGTTGTTGTAAATGGTAAGATTTCATGCTTTTAAGGCTGAATAATATTCGTGTGTGTGTGTGTGTCTGTGTGTGTGTGTGTGTGTGTGTGTGACATCTTTTTTTTTAAAGATTTATTTATTTATATGAGAAAGAGCATGAGTGGGAGGGTCAGAGGGAGAGGGAGAGAAAATCTCAAGCAGACTGCATGCTGAGCATGGAGCCCGATGCAGGGCTTGATCTCAGGACACTGAAATCACAACTTATGCTGAAACCAAGAGTCAAATGCTTAACCAACTGTGCAACCCAGCACTCCACATCTTCCTAATTTATTCCTCTACTGGTGGACACTTAGGCTGCTTCCATAATTTGGCTATTGCAAATAATGCTGTAATAAACATAGGGGTACATATATCCTTCAAAATAAGTGTTTTTGTATTTAAAAATTTAAAAATGTATTTTGTATTTAAAAATTATTTACTTAAATTCAATTTAGTTAACATATACTATATTATCAGTTTTAGGGGTTGAATTTAGTGATTCCTTAGTTGCATATAACACCCAATGCTCATTATATCAAACGCCCTCCTTATTGCCCACCACCCAATTACCTTATCTCCCCACCCACCGCCCCTCCAACAACCTTCAGTTTGTTTCCTAGAGTTCAGCATCTCTTATGGTTTGTCTCCTTCTCTGTCTTCATCTTATTTTCTTTTTCTTTCCCTTCCCCTATGTTCAACTCTTTTGTTTCTTAAATCCCACATATGAGTGAAATCAGTGGTATTTGTTTTTCTCTGACTGACTTATTTAGCTTAACATAATACCCTCTAGTTTCATCCATGTTGTTGCAAATGCAAGATTTAGTTCTTTTTGATGGCTAAGTAATATTGTGTGTGTGTGCGTGTGAGACATCTTTTTAAATTTAATTTTTTTAAAGATTTCACCCATTTACTTGACAGAAAACACAAGCAGGGGGAGGGGCAGAGGGAGAGGGAGAAGCAGCTTCCCCACTGAACAGGGAGCCTGATGTGGGACTTCATCCCAGGACCCTGGGACCAGGACCTGAACTGAAGACAGCCACCTAACCAACTGAACCGCCCAGGCACACCTCACATCTCTCTCTTTTTTTAAGATTTTATTTATTTATTTGAGAGAGACAAAGCAAGAGCACTATGTGGGGATGCGCAGAGGGAAAAGCAGACTCCCTGCTGAGCAGGGAGCTCAATGCCGGGTTCAATCCCAGGA